AAAGTGATTACTTTGAGGTAGGCTTTTATTTTGAGATAAAGTGGGTTAAATAGGAGTTATTTCTCAGTGTTACAATTGCCCCCACACTGCATTTAATTGAATATTTTAGTCCTTGTTCTTATAAGTAAAAATATATAAATTGTATTATTAATTAGTGCACATATATATGTTTCTGTGTATCAAAAGATGACTAGTCTATCTCAAGTAGTTTGTGAGTTATTAAGGAAAATGTAAAATACGTTACAATTGCCCCGGGTCTCCCCTACAGACGATTGGTTTATGACATCACGTACTGATTCGAAAGCATACAGTATGATCTTGAAGCAGCACTGTACAGAGTACAGACGATTGTGTATGACATCACAGTACTGATTCGAAAGCAAACAGTATGATCTTGAAGCAGCACTGTACAGAGTAACAGACGATGTATGACATCACAGTATGATTCGAAAGCAAACAGTATAATCTTGAAGCAGCACTGTACAGAGTACATACGATTGGTGTATGACATCACAGTACTGATTGAAAGCATACAGAATCTTGAAGCAGCACTGTACAGAGTACAGACGATTGGTGTATGACATCACAGTACTGATTTGAAAGCATACAGTATGATCTTGAAGCAGCACTGTACAGAGTACAGACGATTGTGTATGACATCACAGTACTGATTCGAAAGCAAACAGTATGAATCTTGAAGCAGCACTGTACAGAGTACAGACGATTGGTGTATGACATCACAGTACTGTTTCGAAAGCATGTATGATCTTGAAGCAGCCGAACAACCAATACTTATAAAAGTAATTGGATCAAACATAAAAAATTAAGTATTCCTAACTTTTCAACGTTTACTTAACATATGTGTGTAACAAAAAATATAAGCTACTAGGTGCACTTAAATGTATGCATAAATAAAATAATAAAAAAAACATAATGCATGTCAACTACTACAATAATTGCATCAAAATTAAGTAAATCGATTATATCAGTTTAAGTAACTGTATGAGCCACGTGATATAGGCTATGCAATTTCCCGTGATGCCTATCCAGACAAAAAAAATATGAAACATGTGAAGACGTTGAGGCCTACACATGATCATTTATTGCATTTTTGGTCAAGAAATTTACTTTTAACTGAATTTCAGAATTGCTACAAATTTTGCATCAACAATTAGAAACGTTTCTTACGAATGCAAACATTTGTAGTCTACATGTTAACGAATGAAATAAGTGTTTTGCACGCGAGTAGCTATATATTGTGTTTTTTTCAAAATATATGACCATGATGTTGGCTCGTATATGCATTAATGGTGTGTTTACACCGAACGCGAATTTAATTGCGATAGCAGAGTACATTCATAGTCAATGCAAAGACGCGAAGACGCATCATTCGCGCCGGGCGTCGCGAATTGGGTGACTCGTTTGCCGCGAACGTCTCTCTCAGTAGAAAATTTTGAACTTGAGCGGGCTGCAGAAGATTCAAGCGTCTAACTAGACTTGACGTGTTTGACGCGTTCGGTGTGACCAATTCGGACTGCGCTCTCTCTCCCCCACGGATAGATTATAGGCCTACTTTATTAGCGAGTTGTTTTTGGATAAAACTAATGTACTTTGCATACTTACAAATTCCCATGTTCTCTATCTCTATTGTCTATAGGCCTACATGGATCGCGGGAAAGGGAGCCTTGGGCGCGGGTTAGCCTACTTTTGGTAACGTTAACATACAAATATTAAATTCGAAAGCACATTGCCTACAGCTCCGTGTGTGCACGATTTATCATTAAATAATGGCAATCTTGATTCTAGCACAATATTATTCCTAAATGACAGCGTTAATTCAGTAAATTAAACCTTCAAAATTATTATCAAAATAAGTAAATACCCTTTAAACAAAACTTTAGCTTCAAATAAAGATTGTAGATCTTTACTGTTTTCCAGTAGTTACTGCTAAAATGTTTTTGAAGAGATTCGTTCATAACCTCTGGAGGAAAGTCATTAATTAACTTCTGTTTTGTTTAAATTAATAGATATTATTTAATAGACTATTTTTTATATTTATAGGCATTTAATAATGGACTAATTTGTTGCATTTAATTGTTTTTTTTATTGGTTTTTGAAAAAAATAATATATATATATATATATATATATATATATATATAGACACACACACACACACACACACACTAAGATTTTTTTATATTTTTAAAAGAAGTCTCTTCTGCCCACCAAGCCTTCATTTCTTTGATCCAAGAAAAACTGTAATATTGTGACTATATTATTATTATTATTTTAACAACTATTTTCTATTTGAATATATTTTAAGATGCAATTTAAATAAATAATAAAGTGAAATGCTTTATTGTGTGTGATTTGCATGTTATTTATTTTAAGACATGTAAGCTGAAGATCTAAACTAAGTTAAAATGGTTGGTTCAACTGATTTAATTGTCTTATTTTATATATATAAATGAGCTTAAATTTTAAGTTAACAGAACTAAGATTTATGTTGATCTCACATGGCCTGCACTGTGTTGGATTTACTTAAAAGATATGTGCACATTTTTTGATACAAAAATGGTGCATATATATTTTAAGTAATTCCAACTCATCATTTTTTAGAGTGTGGACAATATGAAACTAAAACGACATAAGCTTAATTTAAAATGTCTTAGGAACTACTGGATATTTAGAGGTGAATAAACGTAATTGAAAGGTGGATAAACGCACTTTGGAGGTGCAAACGCAATTCCCGAATATTGGGAGGTGGGTAAATGGCATTTACGTGCATTTAGCCTCCACTACATCCCTGGGTATGACATCACAGTACTGATTCGAAAATACAGTGATCAACTAGAAGCAGCACTATACAGAGTACAGACGATTGGTGTATGACATCACAGTACTGATTCGAAAGCATACAGCAGACAGTGATCGACAGCACTGTACAGAGTACAGACGATTGGTGTATGCAGAGGTGTAGTTGAAGAGGTGGGTAAACTATAAATTCTGGTGGACCAAGACATGGTCACCAGGTAAGGTGGGCCACTGCCTACCCGTGTATGTGTGTCTCCTGATGACATTGCTATATAGGGAGGGCTCGACATTAAGCCTTTTCATACGCTAAGTAAATCTGCCTTTCACTTGTCCGAGTAAAAAAGTTGCTTGTTCAGATTTTTTAAAATTTGACTTATTCTTAAAAAATATTCTCATCATTGATATATCAGCTTTGATATTTAAATCACCATATTGTAATTTCTGCACCTTTAAAGGGCACCCCCCTCCCCCAAAATTATTAAATGTATGCTTCATATTTCATTTTAAATTCCTAAATTTGATCAATAAATTCAATTATTTCTAATAATAAGACACCATAGGGCTGTTACCCTAGGGGTTGATCAAATTAAATCATTTACACTGAAAAATTACAATTGCATGAAATAATGTTATGAAATTGATTTCAATTTACATATAAGAAAGAATGATGCTTTTAAACATTTAACACTAAACCGCCAGTAGGTGGTGGCAGGCGACCGTCTTAATGAGTGAAAAAGTTCGCCTTAGGTTTAACAACCTATACTAAATTAACTAAATTAAAGAAACTAAATTAACGACATAAGCTTAATTTAAAATGTCTTA